ATCCAAAAGCTGTGCTACGACAAGTTAACGGAGAGAGAGAAATCGGTTTTCAATGAATGCGGAGGTGCATTATATTTACTATAGACATGTGCAAAAATGGAACACCGGCTGCATCGTCCACTTCCTTTCTATTATGTGGAAACCCGCCAATATGTCGCCGACTGACAGCTGTCGTTTACATTTTACTGAGGAAAATATTGGCAAAATTTGCCGCAAATGGATCTGTTAAGCATAATAGGAAAAGCCTCTAGAAATTATCAAAAACTTAAATCGCGCTTCAGACGTCGCAAAATAATTATTTCGGTCGTTTTCACCCCACCTTTGCTGGATACTTGAAAGTCAGAGGAACTGCAAGTCCAGCAGGTTAGACTTCACTACCACATGGTTGAGAAATAGGTAGGCGTTTTTGGTTGGCCGAATGCGTTGAATTGCTATTGGATAGTCTGCTGCACCTATTAGCGCCTGCTATCAAATCCACGTGACTCTACGTTTTGCTGCTCCAAAAGTGTTGGATAATCATAACTATTTAGGACGCTCGTATTTGCCTTCAGAGCATGAAATGGAGCTAAACAAATGTTTTCTACTGTTTATATGGACGCCTTTTATTCTGTGTGCACCACCTAACACTACTCCTGGTACATTTGAATTTTCAGGACCGCAGGCATTTATGGAACTTGACACCCAGGCACTGGCGTGTTCAAACCTTAGTCAATCTGTTTTCAGTCTAGATTTTGATATTTTTATAAAATCTAACACGTCAATTATTATGGCCGGCGTTAGTGGAAGATACGAGGCACCCGCCGCTGCCATGTCACCCTACGAAGTTCCAAGACAACGTCCCCGCAATCCCATTCCGGACAACCGTGGGTATGACGGAGATCCGCTGGCTTTAGTGCTTTATCTGGAAAGACCTTACATACGCCTAGTAATCATAAGGCTGACTGATCTCAGCATTCGACTGTATCTCCAGCACGCCCTGGGCTTCTATGATCGACCCTGGTACGGTTGGCACAGAGTTTCCATACGCACTGGTTTTCAAAGCAGGTTGATAAATTATAGAACCCGAACGGTTCAGATTCAAACCGAAATAGTTTTCAAATTCGATCACAAAGAGGCGCGCCGTCAACTACGACTGGAAGATGTGCTCTGGCCGCTCTGGGCCGGCCTACGGAAACAGGCTGTTGAGGAAACAGACATGTTCGACGCTTCCGACCTGGCGGAATTAACACAGTCAGCGCTTTTAAATGAACTCTTTTATGGTTTACCACCAGAAGAATCTTTGAGCAGATATGCCGTCGATATGCTGATAGAAAAGCATAGTGAATTCGAGGAGGTATTTGAAGCAACAGTCTACGGAGCGTTCAACAGTGGACGTGGAAAGCTCAAAGAAGTCAGTTCATTTTACCCATTTTCGGGCAGTATCAAAAACATCATGCTTGGAGGTGGCTGTCGCTGTCATGGCCAAGCCTTTGGGCCGCGCTTCATTCAGCTAGGCAGCGATGTCAGGTGGGACTGGCTATGCGACGCCCGAACTATCCCTAACATCCTGTTGCAAGGGAAGGCATCTACGACTCCCCCGCCTTGTCGAAGTGAAGAAACCTCTCAGCCTTGTGGTTGTTCAATTCGGTCAGGCCGACCAGTCTGTTTGTGTCCAACGACAACGAAATGCCGAAAGCTGCCTGGTGGGTACCCCCCTGCTGTTATAGGATTCATTTAATAATTAGAACACATATGCTTCACATGCGTCAACCTGCATAGGTATTCATTGCAGGCAACATAGATCAGTCTGTTTAGGTTGCCTGCATTGTGTGTTGAATTGTTAATGAAAGTTAGGAGAGAGTAGATTAGGGCAAAAATCGACTGAAAGCTAACATAGTGACATTTAAATGTTTAGGCAACCTTAACACCTAGAAAGGCAGGTCACAACACGGACTAGATAGTCTTACTGAGGTAACCAATTTTGGAAGTATATAGGACGCGTTGACGCTAAGGTTTGCGTATTTTCAGAACGTGTGTCCTTAGTGGTATCGCATTAGTGCATATTTAATGCTTTTTTTAGAATTCCAACTTTCTTTTATATATATTCAGTAGGCAGAAAAGCCAGAGCCATTCAAAAAAACCGAGAGTTGACAGGCAAAACTACATTCTGAGGAGCTTTTACATGCAAAATTTTAAGAAAAGTTGTTAGATCTTAAATAAAGAGCGCTATAGGTAGACGCTCTCTCAAAATGCAATGCTGAGAGCTGCAGACTATAACCCCGGATTAATGCACGTAATGCGACAGGATTTTCTCACAACTAATTAACCTGCTTGTATTCAGAACACACTTTTTTCTCAAGCATTTCGTGTATCCCTTTATGCTTGCTCTTGGCGTCATAACAAATTAGAATATTCTGCCAGAAAGAAATGCGAAAACGATTCCCGACCCAGAAGACAGTTTTCGACTTTATTAGAATTGTTAGGGGGGTTGGCAGATTTGTTTAATTTAGTTGACACAATTAGAGGAAAGCTCGCGGCCTTGGCGGGTGTCGAACCAGCACAGCAGGGGAAGCTTTTGCGCAGCCGGCGCTCTACCGCTCAATCGTAGCTCAGTCGGTAGAATGTCTGCTGCGCAAAAGTCGTCCCTGCTGTGATGGTTAGCCTCCCGCCAAGGCCGCGAGCTTTCCTCCAATTGAGTCAACTAAATTTAGCAGAATTCATCTCAGACAAGGAAGGCCGGCAGATGATATGTTGCGCATAAGGCCTCACTAGGTTTTCGTATAGGTGGTGCGTGATTTGTTTACCAGCAAAAGGACAAGTTCTCAAAGCA